CATATTTTCACCTTTTGCATTATTGCGTAATTATCACTTTTTTGTCTAATTTTTTTCTTCCTTTTTTAGGTTTTTTTTCTTTTTTGGGTGATTCCTTTCAATTTCATAGTGCTTCAAGTTCCTTGTTGAATCCTGAGACCATTAACTTCATAAATGGTCTCAAAACACCAGCTAGGTATTTTTAACTTCGTTTTTCTTTGTTTACATTTATTACCGCTGCTTTTTTGTTTTAGAAAAAGATAAGGTAGAGGAGGCTCCTCTTAAAGATGCAAATCAAGAAGAGCCACAACATTGGTTAGCGAAACAAGACCTCAGCAAGTTAGATCCTCATTCACTTACTCCAATTACTGAGGAAGTAAGGGTTTATTTGTTTGTTGCTTGGAGTTTTTTTTGTGGCAAAGTATTTTGGGCTGTCGGAACCTGTATCGTATTTTAGACTTTTAAAAAAATTATGCTAGTTTATGGTTTTTGTGAAAGAAGTGCTTATTCTGCATTTCCAGGTTATAAGTCGCCAAGCTACTATTAACATTGGCACTATTGGTCACGTAGCTCACGGTAAATCAACACTTGTCAAGGCCATTTCGGGTGTGCATACTGTTAAATTTAAGAATGAATTGGAAAGAAATATCACTATTAAACTTGGCTATGCAAACGCAAAAATTTATAGATGTTCTAATGAAAAATGTCCGCGACCAGGTTGTTATAGGTACTTGCTTTTTTCTCCTTTTTAGTAGTATATTTTTTCTCAATGCTGTTTCAATTATGAGTGCCCAAGTTTCCTAATGTGGCTCCTGTTACAGGATCGCTGTTCATTTTTTTAAGTCAACTTTTTATCAATGTCTTGCTGTTGCTCTGTTGAGTAAAGTGATTGTTATACTGGGGCGATATTACAGCGTTGGGGGGGGGAGGGGACAATAAAAGCTTTTTGGAAGGAAGTGGCATGAAACCTAAAGTACGCATTGAGAGGTAATAACAAAACTCATAGAAATTCAATAAATGAGTATGGCCGACATTTTTTGAAGCTTGAAGCTAAACTAGAACAGCTATGAAGAGGATGTTCTGAAGCCATAAGCAAGGTCTCGGTAAAAAGCGGATCATTTCGAAATGGTTTTTGACTTCAGATTTATGGAGTGTCAGAACTCTATTGTGTAAATATTTAATTTATGGGCATAGGGAAGGGAGAGCACAGAGCTGATGAAGTAAATGAAATATATTTTTTTTTCTGTGTTAGACGACAAAAAACTGGGGTTGACGAAATTTTTGCTGAAGGGGGATGTAATGGAATCTTTAACTCAGATGGATGACTACCTAAAAAAGCATAGGAAATTCTGGTTTAGCGTTTTGTGAATCTTGGCGTTTGGAAGCCGTTGGTGTTATACTTATTTATGGATTCTCAGGTCGGCAGGATCAAGTAGTCCAGATCGTATGCCATGTGAAAGGCCTGGTTGCGGTGGAGAATTTGTTTGTGTACGTCATGTGTCATTTGTAGACTGCCCTGGTCACGATATTCTTATGGCCACCATGCTGAACGGGGCAGCAGTCATGGATGCAGCATTACTGTTGATTGCAGGTAACGAACCTTGTCCACAGCCGCAGACGTCTGAACATTTAGCTGCTGTGGAAATCATGCGACTTAACCATTTGCTTATTTTACAGAATAAGATCGACTTAGTGAAGGTTTGTTTCAGAAGCATTTTAAAAGTGATTGTTGTTTATGACTAGCGCGGCTGCGCCTTTTACTCCTCTTTATCTCTTCTCTTACAGTTCTTTGTAAAGGTGAAGTAGAGCTTTGAGTCACTAATAAGTGAATTTTTTCTCTCCAGTTATGGGAACGTTTTGAATGTGAAGATTTGTGACCCCAGGCTTTTGCCTACTTTTCTGTGATTATGCTTTTTAGGAAAGTCAAGCACGAGAACAGTACGAGCAAATACGAAGTTTTGTACAAGGAACAGTTGCTGACGGAGCGCCTATTATACCTATTTCAGCTCAACTAAAATATAACATTGATGTAAGAGTTATAGCGTTGCTTTAGGTGCTTTTACTGCCTATGTTACTTTTGCTTTTATTAAATATGTATACTTTAAGTAATCTTTTTTAGAAAGTTGCTTTCATATTCAGCTGTTCAAGTCCTTTTTTCTTTGAATGTCATTTCATAACTAGATACTTTTCAGGTTGTTTGTGAGTATCTTTGTAAGAAAGTACCTGTACCTGTAAGAAATTTCTTAGAGCCTGCACGTTTAATTGTTATTCGTTCGTTCGATGTAAATCGTCCTGGAGCAGAAGTGGAAGATTTGAAAGGGGGCGTGGCTGGGGGTTCTATCCTGCGTGGTTAGTACTTTAATTTTATGAAACTGTTTGGCTGTCATCAGTTTATGATTCGTGTTGGGGATTTTCAAAAGCAAATCTTTTTAGAACTCATGAGTTTTTGCAATACAATTTTCTAGACTGAAGTTTTCACAGAGTTGTGTTGCGGTTTTTCACGGTCAGTTTTGTCATACTTCGGCTTTTGATATTGAGTTTTCAACAGGTATCCTTCGAGTAGGTCAAGAAATTGAGGTTCGTCCCGGCATAGTTTCAAAAGCCCCCGATGGTAGGCTGCAGTGCAGACCAATTTTTTCACGTGTAGTGTCGTTATTTGCTGAACAGAACCAGCTTCAGTACGCGGTCCCGGGAGGTCTCTTTAAATATCGTACTTTTATACTTTGAAGAATATGGTAATACAGTTCTTGACCTTTCAGGCTTAATCGGTGTGGGTACAAAGATTGACCCAACTTTATGTAGAGGCGACCGGTTAGTTGGGCATATTTTGGGGGCTGTCGGAACTCTTCCAGATATTTTCACTGAAATTGAAATAGGATATTATTTATTGCGTCGTTTGCTTGGTGTTCGCACTGAAGGCGGTAAAAAGGCACAGAAAGTTGTGAAATTAACGAAGGGAGAAGTTTTGATGGTTAATATTGGATCACTGAGCACAGGTGGACGCGTAATTGCAGTTAGAGGTCTTGTTTTACTTTTATTTTTCGGATATTTTTTGCGTAAACTTCGTTTTTATTTGTTTTTCTGATCGAGGCTGCAGTCAGTTGCTGTAAGAAAAACATTTTTTATGAAGTAAATGCTTATCCAGTTAAACTGTTGGATAAAATAATTTTTGTCAAAAAGAAAAAGATTATTTTATTTGCTTAGTTTAGATAGTGTTTAATGGTTTGCGAAATCATTCAGTAAAAATGCTGTTTCTTTCTTTTTTTTCTTGCCACTAATTTTGTCATATTATGGTATTAGGTGATGCTGCGAAAATCGCTTTGACTGATCCAATCTGTACTGAAATTAGCGAGAAGATCGCACTTTCTCGACGTATTGAGAAGCACTGGCGGTTAATTGGCTGGGGTACAATAAGAAGAGGAACTACGATTTTGCCGACATTGCCTGTGGGTCGGGATGACCAAGGAGCTTCTAGTAACGTTATTAAAGGAGAATCCGGAGATGCTAATTAAGATTTTTGTTTTTGTTTTTTTGTCACAGTGGGTTTATAATGATGGTTTTGAATGGAGAGTTATTTTTAGTAACACTTCCTAATTTATCTGTACAAAAAAATGTTGTTGTTTTTTGGCTCATATTATCAGCCTAAACTTGTTTGTTTTGATTCCTGAATTTTATCATTAGAAGAATGATTTGAACATTAGATCTTGATTTTTCTTTTGTTCTAGAAAACTTTAGGCTGGACAACATTTTCACTGAATAAAGGGTTTTATTTCTATTTTTTTTGTTCGCTTTGTTGTTACTTATTTGCTCTCTGTTATGACTTTTGGTGTTGTTTTTTTGTTTTGAAGCTGGGTCTAATGCTTCACTTTTCTAGTAAAGTAAAACAAACGAAAGAAGTTTGAGCAACTAGGTGCGAAAATGATTTGAAGGAGGATGCAAGAAACATTGGATAGGTGGGTAGGTTCGACACTGAGGAGATAAGAGTAAGAGAGGAAAGGCACCCGAGATACTGACGTTTTAGGTACATTATCGCGTAATTTTAGAAAAAAGTAGGGTGAAGGCGATGGACCATTTTGTGAGGTCCCATAGTTGCTTCTTTTCAAGTGGTTTCTGTTGTTAAGTTGCCAACGAAAGTTCAGTTTAGAAAGTCCGGGTCGTTTTGTGTAGGGTATGCATGTTGCTGTTGTAGCTCTTTTCAAAGACTGTTTGGTGCTATGTGTTTTATGTTGGTAATTGTTTGCAAAACTTGTTTATTTTACCATTGTTGTATTAAGCGGCTAGAACTTAGTTGTTTGCCAAGTGAGGGGTAGGTTCAGTTTAACCATTTGAACCATCTTTAATCATTCTATGCTGCTGATTTTTTACTCAGCTGATGAGTGCTGGAGCAGGGACTTCTGGTTTTGGGTTTCTAGAGCAATTATTTGACGTAGTTTGGTTTGATGTCGAAGTCGGATGCGAACCAATTGTTGAAAAATTCTTTGAATTCTGAAACCAAACAGTTGAAAGTCGAACGTGAGAAACAAGCTTTGTTTGACTGTCTCAATTAATACTGGGCAGGCAGTCGAGAGTAGAAAAACCAAGCCTTTAAAAAGCGGTTGCTGGCTTAGAAACAGTTGTAAAATTATGGAATAAAAAAAATTGTGGATGAATGTGGGATGGTTGGATAGACTTCATTAGCCGTACAGAACAGATCTACAACTAGTAAACAACCACCGAGAACAAAAAATAGTTTTCTATTTTAGTTTTCAGCTTACTTAGAAAGAATCAGAACTTTTTTCACCTGCCACTGATTACCAGCTACTGTTAGAGATTCCATTATTAGTCCTTCAATTGGCAGTGCATACTAAGTACAGATCTGTCAAAGAACTTTAACAACAGCTGCAATTGAGCTTCCGCGTGTAACTGATTTCTTTTTGGGAAGACCTAGTAACATTTTCACCAGAATGGGTAAGTTAAACTGCAACCTGTGTAGTTTAGTGCATTATCTTTGTCTTTGTCGGTAGCAGAAAAGAAGCCCAGAAACGCATTGTCGGTTTTCACTTTCATTTCTTTCTCTCCAAAATCTTTGATTTCTTCGACCGATATATATCCGTCTGAATTCTTGTCGGCAATCTAAAAACTGCTTCTAAGTTACTTAGGTTTTGCTTTTTACCAGGGAATCCCTAATTCCGTATATTTTTGTGATTTTTCTGTGTAGCTGTTTAAGACTACAATTATATAAGCACGTTAATAGCGTACTTTTTTGTAGCATATGAAACGTTCTTCGTCCTTTGCTGTTGGAAAAAGAAAATTATTAATTACCTCTTGAGATTACTTTTGATCAGGAAGTAATTTTCTGACTTGAATACTTTAGAGCCATTGTTTAAAAGATGTATACTATGACTTCTTATTTCAATATAATTGGGTCATTTGCACAAAGGCAGACTCAGAAATGTAAGTCAATGATTTAAGCAGTTTCTGTGCCTTATCCACCTGGAAGTTTAGTCTATTACGGGTTTCCGCCAACTCTCTTCCAAGTATCTCCTGTCTTCGGTAATATTCGGCTAATTCTTCGCGTGTAACGTAGCCATCAGCTAAAAAAAAAACAGAAATTTTTGGGAGTTTAGGACTGTGAAATTAAAGTAAACAGTTTTTTATACCCTGGGTGGACGTTACTGCAGAAAATTATATGTAAAACTCTGCATTCTTACCGTTATCATCAATGTCATGAAAGCATATTTTGGCTACTATATTGCGACAAATATTTGCTTTTACGAACTCGTCAAAATTCATCGTTTCATTACTAGACTGTGCCACAGTTTCTGAAAATAATCACTTTTGTTGATTTGGTTAATCTGACTTAACAAAAGGATCTATTTTTTATTAAAAAGAGAGAAATTTACCATTGTTTTCCGTGAACTGAGGCATTACGAAAACAGTATGGTGAATGAAAATTATCAAGATAACTGGAAATGACATCTTAGGCAGTTTGGGTGCAATGGATGGAAGTTATTGTTAAAACAACGCTGTGCTTGCCGAACCTCACGCTCTATATTTATTGTCAAATGCTATGAACGTTGGAGTGTAGATTTGTTTCAAATGTTGACGAAAGAAAAACAAACTTTAAATCAAACGATTTGTTTTGGTACGTATTTTTCGAGCAGGCACATGATGCATATGCTGGCGGGCGGTGTCAATGTATGATTAAGGTTGTGGATGTCAGCGGGGTGTAAGATTTGTCATCTCTTCTAAGTGCTACTACCATTTCTTCAGAAGCATACAAAAACGATGATTGTACTGGAAAATCATCAATTTCTCAGCGGTATAAGATTATAGAAAATTGAGAAGTACACATGAAACCAAAAATGAACGAACGCCTTCAATGAAAACCAGAAGGATACTTTCTCCAAAAAAAAAAAAAAAAAAAAAAAAAAAAAAAA